TGTAGCTACCGGCGTAACCATGGCTAGGGTTTTATACGGATCTCTGACAATCTTTAATAGTTCTTAATTTGATCGTAAAACTTGTCTAGCCATATACTTGCTCTTACAAATCGCTCCTCGTGGTCCGTTGACCGACAATTGAAATTTGAGATCAAAATAATGATGTACTTATTATATACTTAATAATTATTTAAACATTCCACGACTGTTTATGGCAACAGTCACAACCACCATCATCATCACTATAACCATCATCATCATCACTATCATCAACATCATCACTATCATCATCAACATCATCACTATCATCAACAGCATCATCACTATGATCGGCTTAAAGTCATTACTAAAGAACAAATTACATTCTGATCTGGTTTTAGTCCAGGCCAACCATCTATAATCTTGGTATGGCCTGAGAAAAACTGCCTGGGCAATTGTCATGAATGTAACTGTTACCTTGTGGATACATGCATTGAATCAAAATATGGTGACCAATTTGAATAACTATTGTTTTGCACTGACTAGCGACTGACTAGCCTCATGTTTACATGTAAACATAGCATTCTCACATATATGAGAGACTAGTCAGTCATTAGTCAGTGTAGAAGAATAGTTATTCAAATTGGTCACCATATTTCTAGCCTGCATAACGGCTCTTGGGGGGTTGGGGAGAGAGGGGAGGGGGAATGGGGAGAGGAGGGGAGGGGAGGGGAGAAGAGGAAAGGGAGAATTTTGATTTGGTCTTTGAAGCAAACAATAATTACCTCATCCATTCAAAGACCTTTGCAAAATTTGTGGTGAATATGCTGCTTGAGAGACCCTGTTTGACACCATTATTCATTGCTACTGCATCCTCAAAGCTCTGTTTTCAACAACATCAAACAAATACACATCACTATGACAATGGGAACAAAATATGTAATGGGATAACTTATTTTTGGACTAAGACTTTTTCTGAATTCCCTCTAGTGACAGTTCTAAACATTTTGTAAAAATTCTTTCATTTCTGGATAGAATATAATAAAACTTGTCACATTTCTTTACTCTGCATGGTCTATTTTCCTTATTTTTCCCTTTTATTCTCTCTCCCTATCTTTCCTCCTTCCTTCCTTCCTTTCATTCTTTCTTTTCTTTCTTTCTTCGTTCGTTCGTTCCTTTCTTTTTTCCTTCCAATCATTCATTCTTTTCTTTTCTTTGCTTTCTTTCTTTCTTCCTTTCATTCATTCATTCTTTTCTTTGCTTTCTTTCTTTCTTCCTTTCTCCTTGCTTTCCTTCCTTCCTTCCTTTCTTCCTTTCCTTCATTCACTCTTTTCTTCACTTTCTTTCTTCTTTCCTCCTTTCCTTCCTTCCTTCCTTCCTTCCTTTCACAAATTGGCTGGTTGAGGCCAGCTATTAGACCACTAAGTCAACCACGTGAGGCATGAATCTCAAAATGTGAACAGAGATGTACCCTTTGTTTTATTATCAACAATTTCCTTCCTATGTATTCCCAGTACGTTATTCTCACATACCTTGCATTTTAAGACATAAACTATCGGGCAAAAAGCCTCTGTTTGGACAGCTTCAGAATCGATTTGAAGTCCAGATACTATTGTTGGTTCGACATAAAAACCAGGTGCATCGATGACCTGAAATATTGATAAGATGTGATCCATTCTATAATGAGCAATACACGTACCAAGAGAATATAAACTAAGGGAAGGAATCCCTGCGCCCCATCAAGAGCACTCTTTGATGCTATTTTTAGAATCTTAGATGCTATTTTTAGAATCATTTATTGATCATTTGAAAATAACAGGCTCGTACCAAAACCCAAGAACAATATCCAAACTTTCTGGTGATCGTAACACAATTCAATAAAATTTTTACCATGTGATAGCTAGCGCAGAAGTGGTCAATTTGTATTGTTTTTGCTCAATTACTATCTAAAATTTCTAAAACTTTCTAAAACTTCTAAAATATAAATATTTTGACGAATACCTTTCCTCCGCACTCTATGGTTCCACCCTACAAAACAACAAGCACTATTAGTTTATGGACTTGCACCAAGTTGTATTTGCTAACTCACTGTAGAGTTGCTCACTAACTATGTCTTGGTTGTCATGATCAGCCTGAAGTGAAATTTAAATAGCCTTGGCAGAAAAGGAAAGGAATGCAACAATGGGAAGGAATGAAAGACATCTCTAAACCTTATTGATTTTAGATCGTTCAAAAAACCCATGAATTTCAATAGCTCTTTCTATAGTGGCCCCTTATTACCTGGGATTTAGCCCCTTCTATTGCCTTGTTGTAAATATCGACTGCCGCTTGAGAGTGAAGTGGGCCATAAATAACACCCTCTGGAGACAGAATAAAAGAAAAAATTAATTAATAGATATCTAATAATCATCAAATAGTAAATAACACGTTAATTCCCCTTGGAATTTGCATTGTGGCATCATTTTGTTAATATGATATAAGTGATTACTACAATAATGCTTCAGAAATATAAGATATAATTTAACTGAGCGAAAGAAAGTGTGCAAGGGATTCTGGTATTTGTAGTAAATGAGCGGTTTTTTAATACCTTCCAAAGGATCACCATATTTGACTTGACCATACGCCTTCTTTAGCTTCTCAACGACTGTATCATAAATCTTTTCATGGAGAATCTAAACAAACCAAAATATAAAGTCAATCAAGAGTCAATGATTAAGAGTACACTAATATCCGTACCTCCCCATGGAGGGGATTAGAATTTCCAAGGGGTGGGGAGGGACTGAGGAAGGTGGTATCCAATGAAGTCACCTGTGAGATCATGTGAGATCGGTTGCCTAGACTCAAGACACCCGAACTCATGGTTCAGTCACCCGTAATACATGGTTCAGATGCCTGGAGTTGAAGTCTGTTCACTACTCAAGTGAATGGTCAAACCAATAACACAAATACAACTTATTAAACAGTAGTAAAGCTTTATAAGACATTTGTTAGGCATTTTAGCGACCGAACCACGACTGCTGGCGACTCACGGGTGACTTCTTATATGTAATTTACAAATCATATGCAATTTTGCAAATTTGGTACGAAATAAAGATTGATTGGTAATTCCAGAAAACATCCATAACTCCTACACAGAGGGTAAGGGGATTGACATTACAAGGGGTATGGAGGGTCTGAGGAGGGTATAATGTGTAGCTAAATATCCACACCTCCCCCACAGAAGGGGACTGACACACTTAATGGGTGATCGGGACTCCTTACCAGTCTTCTTGTAGTGGTACACCTTTGACCTGCTGTACCAACACAAGCAAACAGGACAGATGGTACAACAAGGTTTAAATCTGCGTCATCCATAACTACAACACACAGCACCAAAAAAGTTAGTTTGGGTAAATATAATATTCAGTTTGATAATAAAAATATGATTGAAGTTTGGCTTTCAGTGATAAAAGTTAACTTTCGTTAAGTAAGAAGACTGACCTATGATTGCATTGTTTCCACCAAGTTCCAAGATTTTTTTCCCTAAAAAACAAATCAAGTCAAATTAGAAAAAAAAGTCATATTAATTATATTTATTTTTTCCCAGTCTGTTATCCTAAAAAATCGTGTGTTCTGATTGGCTATTTGAGCTGGTGGTATTTTGTAAGTATCTGCCCGCGCTTGCTGTCCAATATCCTTTACCGCTAAACATCAAAAAAATAAAACGATTACAAAAACAAGTAAAAAAAATAARAGAAAAAAATAAATAAGTTATTTACCGTCCTATAGTTGGTCCGGATAGGGAAAAACTGTGCCCTTGGTCTTGAAAACGGACCTCGCCCTAACAGCCTCGGTCCATATATTCAAGACCTTGGGCACAGTTTAAATAACATATATGTATCACTTAAGGTTCATTCTCATACTCAGGATTTCCACTTTATCCCTGGCTTGTACACTGATTAATTTTAGAAGGAATAAAACAGAATCTTGAAGATAGTCTGAATACAGGCTGGTTTTACGTGTACAGTTAATATAGCGAGAAATATTTGGGACCTGTATTAGTATTCTCAGAATAGAGATACCACTGTATTAATTTAGAAAGCATAATTTACACACCAAATCGTTGCTGAACGGTGGTTCCAACTTTCCGTCCAACCTGTGAAATATATCAGATTGAGCTGATTCTTGCAATATAAAAAAAAAAATAAATGAAATAATATATTATATGAAAACAATATAATATTATACTATTACCTATATTATATAATATGATATTACCTATTGGTCAACTGAACAATATTTCTATCTGGACAAGAATTCTGTGGTTAAGAGCAGATCCAGGGGGGAGGGGTGGGTGTTAGTTAGGATTGGGTGGAGTCGAAAAATGATAAGAATGTATGAATACAAGATAAGGTAAAATTTAAAAAGGACACTATGTGAAGTATCTGGCTGTGATCCAATAGATTATTGATGCTTATTATTAAAAAAAAGTAGCCGGCAGTTCAAAGCCGTTAAGTAAGATTGCTTACTGGTATGCTTCCAGTGAATGAGACCAAGTCAACTCGTTCATCTTCACTCATTGCTTGTCTGTGATGAATATTCAAAGAAAAACCATTACAATATTAGAAATTAGTAAAGGTACACAGGTGATTATTGAAAATCTTGCGCGCTCATTAGTCAAGAAAATCACACAATAATCCCCTCCAGCGATAATCCAAAATGACGACCAGCCGCTTTGTTGCTGTTACCAGAAAAAAAATGATCTTCCTTTTTTTCTTTTTTTGAAAGAATCACCTGTGTATTTATACTAAATTTGCCTCAGCCTCAGTGAATATCGGAGAATATTTACCGAGACCAGAGTCTTCGAGCCAATGATCGATAAAATGGAAATCCTACAGTTCATTCCTCTCCCTCACCCTACTTTGCTCTCAAAGCACCATGGGAATATATGAGTACTCTTTCCCATGCTCCTCTAAAGACATTTTTTGTACTTCCTTTTGTTTTCTCCTCAAGCATGTTATACTGTAAGCTCACAAAGTATGATGGGAATGAATGAGTATCCTTACCCAATATCAGCTCCTCCACAAATCATGGAACAAACCTCTCCTGGTATCTTATTTGCTTCCAAGACAGACTGAATGATTCTTTATTCAAAAACAAAACAAAAAATTATATAAATAAATCATATTTCCCATTTATGTAATCATAAATTGGTAAATATATAAATATCTATGTATGTATATATATATATTCTTTTTCTCCTCCAGACATTAATGGAGAATTTAAAAAAATTCTGGATATAAAAGGATGACCATCCTTTGACTTTTAACAACAGCAGGTTGGAATATCCAATGACATTATTTTAAATGACATATCTGCCCCTCCAACTATCTAAGTCTCTATCATTGCAAGGTCACTGCTGTTCTCTCGCTTACACACACAGGCAGGTTCACCTTTGAAGATGGCGCAGGAAGCTGTAAGGGGTCTATTGTGGGAACAGATTTTTTATTTTGTATGTATTTTTCATGAGAACCTAGAGAATTCAGGACAAAGGATGCGGATAGATGCTTGATAAAAAGTTAGATTTATTTTCTTACTTGGTGACAGCAATACTTATCAGTGGTGTAGTTGGACCTCCTTTCCTGTCAGTCACAAACAAATAAAAAAGTTTAGATTTTTTTTTTGTAACAGTCGGTTTCACATTACTTAACCCGATCCAGTTTCCAAACCATGCTGCCTAAAACTCCCATGCTTATTGCTAGCATACTCAAACTTCAAACCATACAAAAAAAATAAACACTTTTGTAAGGCAACTAGTATAGATTTACACAATTAAATATATATCTAGGCCCTTCCAATTTAGAAGTTGATTTTGGGAAGAAAACTGGAGAACCTGGGAAAAAACCATGGAAGCACAGTAGAGAACCAACAAACAACTCTACTGACATATGACTAGTCCAAGGATTGACCCTGGGTTGTATTGGTGAGAGACAAACGCTCTCATAGCTACGGCACCTTTGCCTCCCAATAACCAAGTTCAAAAAAATATCCAATAAATCCATTTGAACTTCAGAGAGTGCACTAAAGCTTGGATAAGACAACAAGCCCCACCTACCATAGATTAACATTGCCGCAGACCATACTGATAGCACTATTCCAACCATATACAGCGACAGGGAAATTGAAGGCTGTGATGATTCCAGTCAAGCCAAGAGGGTTCCATTGCTCCAATAATGCATGGCCAGGACCTATTAAACAATCATTAATAAAAACAATGTTACTTAATTAAGTATAAGTTCAAAACAAATTTTTGTCATTGTCACAACCACATTCAGAGGGAAGGGGTGAGGTCTCCTGGACCCGGGGGGGGTACTCCGCCAGAATTTGGGTAGGGGTGTTCCGCTGGAAAGGGGTACCCTGTTTATGATAAAAAAGCTCAAATTTGTGGACCCTGTTTATGATAAAAGATACCATTCACAGATACCATTAAGAGTCTGCAGGATTTTAAAACATTGGTATTGTTCAATTTGCAAATTTTTTAGATCACGGTTGACTTTTGCAGATGATTTACTTTAAAGTGGAGCTAAACCTGTACAAATGAGTCTGTAGTCTTAAAACATAGCGGCATTTACCAAATTAGGAAAGGTAATGATGAAAAGGTAAATTATACACCGTGAAAAGATGAAAAAACTTACTGACGTTTYGGACGCTAGTCCTTCGTCGGAGTAAAAGAGGGAAATGAGGAAAGGGACTATTTTTTGCTCAAGTTCTATGAAATGGTCCCAAGTTTGATGTTTTAATAAATTCATGGTTAAAGATTAAATAATAAATGTGTTCTAATAAGTTTGTTTCAAGAGAAATTACAATCCGTTACCCACCCATGGAGGGTGTGAATATACCAGGCCGACAAAAGATATACAGCTATTTCAAAAAATGTTGAATACTGCATACACTATTTATTATTGATAGTGTATTTTCAAGATCGAACTGCATTTTGGGTCTTACATAATATTGATTAAAGTGAAATAAATAATAATTATATATTTTATTTTGTGCATTCCGTCCGAAATATACTAGCTACATATTGAGAGCAAATTGCTGTATTTCAAATTAACAAGACCCACAATGCAAAAAAAGGGCCACAATGCTATTTGGTCTTGGGACTTGGACACATTATTTAGTATTCAGTATTCAAAATTTTTTGAAATAGCTGTTTATAAAGCATATATCATAGTAAAAGGTGAATACGACTTACGCTCTGATGGCAAGACTTTCCCTCCAACCATCCTCGACAATCCTACAGCAAAATCACAGATATCAACGTACTCTTGGATCTCTCCGACAGCTTCTGGTAAGATTTTACCAACTTCAAGGGTAAGCTGAAAATTTGTTGTCACAAAATAAGAAATAATACTTCAATGTTACCCTGTCTGTATATCAATTTCTATTTTTCATTCAGTCGCTCAATTGGCCACCTTAGAAACGAGCAAAAGACTGGAGCGACTTTTGAATTTTAATCTAGTCAGCAAAAGAATTTTGTCATTTGATAAAGCATCTCAACATTAGTATGTCTGGCAAATTTGAACATGATTGGATATAAAGAACAAGTTACGAAACTTCAAAAGTCTGAAAAATTTACAAAGAATGTATAGTTACAGGGGAAGCTCGTGGGACCCAATTCACAATTCACATTTGACCGCCACCCAGCTAGCTCAGTTAGTAAGAGCAACGGTCTGTTTTACCGGAGGTCGTTGTTCAAGCCTCGGCCGGACCAACACTCAGGATCTTAAGATAATTGAGGAAAACCGTCATGTGGCTCGGATGATCACGTTAATGGTGGTCTCGTCCCTAATTAACTAGAGACGTTAACAGAGGACCACAAGTTTATCAGCTGAATTACTGTCAAGTGTTATCTTCTATAAACAAAGATATTTATTTATTTATTTATTCATTACGGTTCTCTTCATTTTTTGTTTTATCATACATTTTTCATTCTTCCCAAATTTCATCCATTTATTCAGATTATTCAAGTGTCATTCATTTTTCCAGAAAATGATCAATACAAGTTCCATCCACTCACCAGCTTGCCAAGAGGATTGATATTGTCTCTGAGAGCCTGACCAATTTGTCTAACAATTTCTCCTCGTTTTGGTGCAGTAACCTTAACAAAGTGGGACACAACATAGGATCAGGATTAATAAAGAAAATCAGTTCATGTGGAATGTAAAACTTTATTGGCTCATTTGGCATGGCTGAAATAAACAAATAGACATCAGTTTATTATGTGTCTGATTGCGTCATCACATTGTCAAAGTAGTGTGGATCCACGAGGCGTAGCAGAGTGTTAATTCTGAAACATTTCGTTTTTTAAGTATTAATTATGACATTTGTGGCGAAAATTTTACTCCAATTTTCTTGACGTTTCGTTAAATATGGCTTACCAAGGCCCATTCTTTCCAAGCTTCTTTAGCAGTCTTTACGCAGTTGTTGTAATCCTCTAGAGATCCCTGTTGGTCAAATTATGCAGCAATCAATAGACAAAGCTTAATGCAAAACATCAGGATTTGCAACTTTGAGACTTGTCTCCCCCCCCCCCCCCCCCCCCTTCCATACATCTCCAAAAACACATTGATCTCTAAGCAGGGCTTTCAGAAATGTTTTGGAGTAGGTGGTCATAAGTCTGAAGTAGCTGGCTGTGATTCCATACGAGGAACAGAAGGCCAGAAGTTAACTTTGAAGCAATCACTGGAAGCTACCAGCTTATTCTGAAAGCCCTGTCATATCAATCACACCTCGTCTCCTGTGTTTATGCACTCTCTCTTTTCCCTTTTGCAACCCATATCATCCCAGCTTGGGGTCCCTATGTAAAAACTGAGGAAAGAGACTAGGGCTGCAGTTTATCTTCCCCTTTCTCTAAAGACACAGGGAGTCCATAAAGATAAAAGTGTGAGTCATCTGCAGAGCCAAGAAATTATGATAGTTCACGCCAAGACAAAACGTCTGTCTCCAAGTTCCTTACCTGTCGAACTCGAGCGATAGGCTGATTATTTGACGGGCAATAGGAGGCAATGACCTGATAGAAAATAAACAATTAAGCTATCATTAGATAACATTCAGGAACATACAGTAATTTTGAAGTACCATATTTTTTTACTTCTTCAATCTAACCCCCAGGTATTTAATAGGTGATATTCCCAGCCAGGGGGTACTCTTGCCTGTTTAGGGTAGGGATGTGCTGCTGAGCCCTCTGAACCCTAACCCTGTTTCAGAAATTGCTAAAATTCAAACCCTGTTCCAGAATAAAGAAAAAATATYATTATAGAGTAAGATAATAGAGGGAGCGTAATTTCATATACCCTGTTCCAGAGAGCGAATGCAATTTTATATAAGTTGTTCCTGAGTAGAATCACTGAAACCATAATATGCTTGATGACATGTACCTGTATAGTGAGTATAGTGGCATACCCCCCCCCCCCTCCCTGGCTGATATTTCTTATATTGCACGTAGTAATCAACCAATCAGAAACAGGTTTTTGTATAGATCTCTGCTTCATTAACTCTTTTTAATGCATGGTTAGGTTAAAAACTGTACCCTGCGAGTAAAGGTTGTTTTTCGTCCCCTAAAGCCAGAACGGAGGGCAGAAAAATACCTCTACGAGCAGGGTAACCAAGCATATCATGAATCCACGTGGAATTTTTTTTGCATACGATTGACTTCAAAGTTGCCTATATTTATAAAAACTTCCAACTGAACATTAGCTTGATAAAGTAGTTAAACGCAAATAAAATGCCAGAATTTTGCTAAAGCGAGGTCTGTTGCTTTACGCGTTAGAAGTTTTCTTAGCAGTTTAAGCCGGGTTTTCGTTTCATTTGTGTAAAAAGTCATTCTACCTCGCCAGTTGCTCCCCAACTTCCATTAAAGACGCCATCATTGTCAGCTTTGAGGCCAAGATCTTTTATAAAAGAATACTTCTCCTTGTTTATCAAGAGGTCCTCGCTTTGCGTAGTAGAAAGGCAAGCCCTTGAGGCCATGCTCAGTACGCAACGATAACGAGAGACACGAGAAAATACCCTTGCATTAAATAGCGCCATTTTTGCTGTTGTTCTACGAGAAGAACGATTAACGAGACAAGAACCACAGGCAACCCAAACCCTGTGGTTTCCTAAACACTCCCCCCGCCCATCCCCCCCTCAAATAACATTGCTTTCAAAGTTCATTTTCAAAGAGTCCTTAAAAATTGAAAGTTAATTTGTTATAGTAATGCCATACGATAAATAAAAATACGGGAATAAAAGTTTTCTAAGATTTCCTTTCTAGCAAAAACACAGGAAACCCATTAACAAATTTGACTAAATAGGTGTTACAAATAATTACATTGCAAAAAACGGGGAATATTATATTACTACTGCATTGTTAACCAAAACTTTACAAATATACATACATTTATACATATATGAATTTATTATGTTACTATTTTATTTTAATTTTTTCTATTTTCCACAAGAAAAACGCACGAAATTTGAAGCTATAAAAGGCTAGGTGATTGACTTGCTTCACAAGGGAAAATATTATTGTTGTCCTTCCATTTTTATTTCATTTTTTCATTTTTATCTTATTATTTATCCTATTTTCCCACTAAAAAGGCGTACCAAGGGCGTAGCCACGGAACACTCATTCATTGGCTAGATTCATGAGGGACATAATAGTTGTACACGTTTGAGCCCCGCCCCAGAAGCCACGTTGTTATACTCGACGTTCCTCTTGTTGAACTCAATTTTGACTTAGATTCTTTACCTTAAAAATCTTCCAAGTAAGTCAGTTTTTAACATTTCGTAATACTCAGAGAACAAGAATAGATAGTTTAGATATTTGTGAACCCAGAATAACCAGAAATGTCACTGTGGCGTATTTATTTCTTGTGACATAATAGCATTTCAGCTGGGATTAGATTTACATCTGGGTCAACTATGCACCAATTTTTAAAGCTTATTTTCCATTTTAGACTCAAAAACGTTGACAATTTATGTGGCATATTAATTTTTCATCATTTTTCTGTGCGAATTAAGGTGTTTTAATGTAATACTTTATCTTGTTTTGCTAGTTGTAAGCAAATATGGTCGACACGAACGCAGTTACACTGACTCGCTTCGTGCTCAGTGAACAGCGAAAGGTCGAAGGTGCTACAGGAGACTTGACTCAGCTACTGAATGCAATCATGACTGCAGTTAAGGCTACTTCATCCGCTGTCAGGAAAGCTGGAATCGCAAGACTGTAAGGACTTGTTGCAATAGCATAATTTAAAGTGAAGTACACCTCCTCTCCCCTCTCTTCCCATTTTCTTTTGATATCTCATTTGTTTCCTTTCCTTTATTTTTCTCTTTTTATATTTTATCCTCTTCTCTTCCCGTTCTTTTTCTTTTGCTTATCTTCCCTCCACTTTTCATTTCTTTATTTCATCATTTCATTTTAGTAACCTTCCATGGCTCTACCACCCCCTACAATCTCTGCTTGTTTGTAGAGTTTGTTAGTCTCTCCCTTAATAGACCTCTTTAGCTTGGTCATAATGTTTTGCCCATATTTTTAGACCATGTGTCATTCCCAAGAGTATTATTTCTTTGTTTATTGATTGCACATGAGACGACACACAAATATGGCTACTGACTCAAACAAAGAATCTTATTCTCAAAAGAATGACATTTGGTCTGATATGGCAAAATTTTCATTCAAGCTAAAGAGGTCTATTTCAGGCTTTTTCTTCAGTTAACTTTTAAATGGTATTAGTAAATAATATTTTAAGGAATTTTATTTCCATTCTAGATATGGAATTGCTGGAGATACCAACGTCTCAGGAGATGCCCAGCAGAAGTTAGACGTGATGGCTAATGAATTGTTCATAAATATGTTAAAATCTTCTTATACGACATGCCTACTTGTATCAGAGGAGAATGAGACAGTCATTGAAGTAGAGACTGAGAAACAAGGCAAATATGTAGTGTGGTTTGACCCTCTAGATGGCTCATCAAATATCGACTGTCTTGCATCTATTGGGAGTATCTTTGGAATAGCTAAAAAGGTATGGTCAAATAGCAATATGTAATGTATAATAATATGTCATTTCATAATATTAATTATTACCTATCATCGCACACTTTTGAAAATACAGCCAATCACAATGCAGGAAATCTGTTCTACAAACGATAAACATTATTTTAGATAGGATTGATGCAACTGAAAGTGCTCGCACATGCAATGTGGTCTCATAAAGCATGCGCTCCAAACCAATCAGAACACAATATTTATAACAGTTATTTTATAAATATATATTTTACTTGATTACAGCTCTCAGATAATGGCCCTCCCTCACAGAAAGATGGTCTACAACCAGGCAAAAATATGGTGGCTGCTGGCTATGCTTTGTTTGGTAGTGCGACTGTTGTTGTCCTGTCTACAGGTCATGGAGTGAACTGCTTTACATTGGATCCCGTAAGTGAAATTTCATATCGGTCAATTTACATTAGTTCTTGCTATACCTTGCTCTTGTTCTTGTCCTTGTTCCTGGAGGCAGTTGGTGATTGATACTAAGAATGGCTGCAAATGAGACTAACCTTCAAACAAATCTAACTCCAATGGAGGTCCAAAAACAACCCTACCACCCTCCCCTGGGGAGTTAAGATTAGACATACCCACTAACCTTAGGAATTTCTGTGAACAAATAATCAGAAAATTGGTTGTACTTATACTAAGAATGGCTGAAAATTAGACTAACAAAAAGAACTCCACCACCCTCCCCTGGGGGGTTAAGATTAGACATACCCCACTACCCTTAGGAAATTCTGTGTACAAAGTATCAGAAAATTGGTTGTATTTTGATGTTTGTTCTTTGATGTTGTTTTATTCCAGTCAATTGGAGAGTTTGTATTGACAAATCCAAACATCAAAATGAAGCCTAGAGGCAAGCTTATCTACAGCGTCAATGAAGGCAATCAAGCCTACTTCTTTGAACCAATGAAAAAATACCTAGAAATGATCAAAAACCCTACAGTAAGTTCACCTCTGTTTGATTGCTTGTTGTTTGTTTGTTCTCTTATTGGCTGACCAGTATATGGTGGTGATTATCGATAAACTCAGCATATGTGATATTGACTTGTTGTTTTCTGTTAGGATTCAAGAGGGCCGTATGCATCTCGTTATGTTGGTTCTATGGTGTCAGACTTGCATAGAACCCTTGTGTATGGTGGAATCTTTATGTACCCTCCCAATACCAAGAGTCCCAAAGGAAAGGTAAGATAATATATAATTGATCCCTGAAATCATGCTATTGAGGTTGTTTCAGGGTTTAATCTGTGCCCTGACTTTGACCACGCAGCCCAGAGGTTGTTTCAGGGTTTAATCTGTGCCCTGACTTTGACCACGCAGCCCAGAGGTTGTTTCAGGGTTTAATCTGTGCTCTGACTTTGACCATGCAGCCCAGAGGTTATTTCAGGGTTTTTTATAACCTTTTATATCATTTTTTCTCTTTATCAGCTTCGTCTGTTATATGAATGTAATCCAATGGCTTACATCATCACCCAAGCTGGCGGCATGGCCACCGATGGCATACAGAACATCCTAGATATTATTCCCACATCTCTTCATCAGAGATCACCAATTTTCATTGGATCCTCTGAGGATGTCAAGGACTACTTAAAATGTGTAGAGGAGTGTAACAAGGAACAAAAATAATTTTTTGGGGGACATTAGGAATTGATTGTTTTTGTTAATAGGGATTTAATTTTGTAAACTGTACAGCACTCGTTTTTGAAGCCCAGCCAAAAATGAAATTTCTAAAGAATTCATAGTACCAGTCAGTATATTTATAAAAATATAACTTGCCCCCATTTTCATAAACATGTGAACTCTGTGTTTCCAAGATGCACGCTGAAATTTGTTTTTTCAATGCCACCAGTTAAAAAATATGAAAGGTACGGAGTGATAAGGTATGTTTTAATTGACAGCATCGAAAAAAAAATTTCAGCATGCGCCAGCTCGCAGCTACATGTACCGAGTTCGCATGTTTATGAAAATGGTGGTAGAGGCAGTAATATTCTTTGTGGCCAGCCAACAAGTGTAGAGTTGCTCAACAACCAGCCAACTGGGACATGTCAACCTGCTAGTATTAAAGGACACAATTACTGACTAAAGCTTAAACTTCTTAGTAATGAATTGTAGGGTAGTAAATGAATAAAAAATTATTTTATATCAGTTGTATGTATGTATCAGTACGGTATGTAGATTTTAAATTTTTTGAGGCTAAAACTTGAAAGTTTAATCTATGTCCTCTTATTTACCATGATATGACGTCAACAGTTGGTCAAAATGGAGCCTTGTCGTGGTAAAAATCTGTGTGGAATGATGCAAAATTAAGACAGGGTTCGTACTGAGGTAACGACTTAAAATTCAAGGACTATTCAAGGAGTATACAAGGACCCAAAAATGAATTTTCAAGGAGTATGTCCAGCTAACTATGCCAAGGTTTTACATGGTGGTTGCACATGGCCAACTTTCAGATTTTCCAATATTTCCAAAGAGATCTATTTAAGAACCATGCAAGTAATGATCAAAGCAAAAATCCAAGGAGTTTTTAAAAAGTTTCGCTAACATTGTGAAATTCAAGAGCTTTTCAAGTGCCCTTGAAAACCTGAAATAAATTCAAGGAGTTTTCAAGGAGTTTAAGGAGTAGCATGAATCCTGTTAAGAGGAAAGGTAGGAAAAATGGAAAAAATTTCTTTGATGTAGCTCAGGGATGTTTTTTTTTCTATGAAGGATGATAGTTTGATTTAGTAAGGTTGCAGAGCTAAAATTAAAGGCCAGTTACTGGACAATGTCCAACCAGGATACTGGTCATTTTGACCAGTAACGTTATGCCAGAAACTTGTGATTCAACTGATGAATATTCTGCGCAAGACAAGAAATGATGTCAAGATGACACCCAGCAATCTACCTTTCCTGAAATTGTTTGGATGATCACGGAACGATGGTTTGAAGTTGAAACTGAACTTGTTTCTTTTATTCAACCTCATCCAACCTCCACTTGAAACCATTATGACCAGTCAAGTGAATAGGCCATTTCACGGATCCCGTTACTCAACCTCAGCCTCGTCAGCGTGTAATTATTCTTTAGAATTTGACTACAGTCCGCAGTAATGAAAGGAATTTACACATCAACAAACAATTGAAACACTTAAGAATTTCACAGGTTGTAGGCAATTTCTAAAGAATATATTACACGCTGACGAGGCTGAGGTTGAGCCGTGGGATCTGTGAAATGGTCTATTCAGGAAAGGTCTTATAGATAAAGGATAATATCAAATTAATTATCTTTGATCAAAACTATTATTCTTTCTTTATGATGCTACAATCACAACAAAAATTAAAATTTCTGTACATAATATAATATCTAGTAAATATTTGAAACATACTTTATACATTATAATCAATTTTTGTGATAAAATTTTCATTATTTTTAATGCTGAACAAAAAAAGCCAAAAATAAAAGTTAAAAAAAAATTGCAGATTTTGTTACAAAACCATTTCTAAAGAAAATTTTATATTTTGATATTTCTTTAGAAAATTTTCATTTTACCCCTAACTGTATAATAATAATAATTTTAGGGGTAGTCTAGATCAGTAGTAGTTTAAATCCATAATATATACCTATAGGTTTAGCTTAGGGCTTTGAAAGCATAACGACAATAATAGAGAGTTTTGCATTAGTGCGAAACGTACATACCGACTTACATTAACGGTACTTATGCCGTAGAAATGCCTTACCATTAATGTTTTCTTGAGCATTACCCAATCTTAACACAGTTTCATTGCAGCTTTAGTACTAGTACAGTAAAAATAGCAAGTTTGCTCTCTACTTGGCAAGACTTTCCTTTGAAACAAGCCTCTATTGAAACTATAGTTAGGTTAACACCTTCTTTGAAGAATAATATGACCAGGCCAAACAAAAAAATAAGTGTTTCCATTTGCATGAGAAAAATAATTGGGGTTGGTAGGTCAGATTTTTTTTACTGATACAACAGTGGAAATGAGCTTTTTGGGAACCCTGTGGTGCATTTGTGAATGAAAAAATATTAGGGTCGGAAAAAATCGGCGAGAAAATTAGGGTTGGTTGTGCAACATGAAACACACTTTTTTTTTTTTTTGGCCCCACCAAGTTATAAAATTTAATACTTTAATCGCAGTCACTGTCAATGTTATGATGCACCTCACTAATGATGAAGAGTGCTTGACTTTTGGATTGTCTAAAATTTCATTGATATCCCTCAGTAAGTAAACATGATTTTTATTTTGGTGGACAAAAACTCTTGACTCTCAGTTTATTATGGCCTGAAACTCACAGATCAAATTGAAATTCAGCAAATTAGGTTTTGAGAAGGGAGCAAAGCCAGAAAACTAGAAAAGCTAGAGAACAGTAACAAACTCTAAATAGACCCTAAAACATGAGGGCTTAAAGAAATACCCTTGAAGCACAGGACAGAACAAACAAACAACTCTAATCACATGATGGCAAACCTGAGATTTGAGCCCATAACCACTAGAGGCACTACCTCTACTTCTCTTTGGGAGAATGATACAAAGGATTGCTTAAAGTACTGGCTATGCATAGAGGGGCATGTGAGGATTTTTGAATTTGGAAAATTTTAGACATGGTTTTTCAGATCTTTTTTTTTTTTTTTTGAGAATTCATTTAGAAGTGGGGATTTTCAACTTTTTTAAATGGTTTTCTATTTTCTTTGCAGATTCTCAGTTTGTTGGATTTTCCCCTCAAAAATAAATAAAACGGTTCTTGTTTCTTTGAGGTAATAGTCATTGGCTAACCACAAGTGGCCCTCGTTCTATGATCGAATTTCTGTGGAGTGCAATTTTGAGCACCCCCACCACGCTCCCTCCCCACATCGCCCTCCATATACACAAACTAGCAATATAATTTGAACAAAATTTGCTTCTCAATAAATTAATTCCGCTTGATAATTAAACTATTCATTAGGAGGCAGAGATTGAGGTCAGAAAGTCTAATGCCTTATCATGATCGTTATCAGCTGCTTTCAATGCTTCTTGGATGTATGGCTCTTCAAATCCCAGCTGCTTGAAACTTTCAGACAGTTTAAGGAATTCCAGTGCCTAAAGAAGAAACAAAACAAGAAAATTCAAAATCTGAAGTTAATGCTAACAGTTAAATATAGCATACTGTATTTCCTGGAACTACACACTATACCCTCATTAGACCCTCCCCACCCCTGGGAAATTCTAATCTCCACTGTAGGGGAGGTATGGATATTTTCTGGAACTACACACTATACCCTCATTAGGCCCCAACCCACCCCTGGGAAATTCTAATCTCCACTGCAGGGGAGGTATGGATATTTTCTGGAAGTACACACTATACCCTTCTCAGACCCTCCCCACTCCTTGGAAATTCCAATCTCCACTGCAGGGGAGGTATGGATATTTTCTGGAACTTCACAAAATACCCTCCTCAGACCCTCCCCACCCCTTGGAAATTTCATACCCCCTCCATGGGGTAGGTGTGGATATTTTCTGAAACTATGTAAAATACCACCTGCAGTCTGACCTTCCCAACCTCTCAGAAAACTCTCCATGGAGGAGACAAAATTTTCCAGAATGAATAGACAAGACAATTGATAATTACAATCGATAATTAATTTACAAAATAATAATATTCACCTTTTTCTCATCATCATCAAAAAGACTAAGTGCTATTTCTACATCATCATCAGGAAATCCCTCCTCAGTGAGTTTCTCTACGATGACCAAGAAATCTATCACCTGTGTTAAATATACCAGACTTAATATGTTTAAAAAATGTGAAAGGAAATCATCTACTGGATGTGAAGAACATTCAACTATTCCTCTCATCCTAACAAGGCTCGAAATAAAAGCCAAATGGCAGGCCAATGACCAGGTTAGGCAGACAACAATAATGATCAACTGCCTAATGGATAATAAAATGATAGGGAAAATTTACTGGACTGGTAGGGCATATTTTTTTCCCTATTATGTGCCCTGTCGAACCACGTCCTTGAAGTGCCCTTGTGGTTCCACAGGGATCCCACCCCATCATTACTGTCAACACACTCACCTCTTTATCCTTCTCACCAAGTCTCTGTACTGCCCTTGCAATTCTCGGCATAGGAAAGCCCATGATTCCAATGTAATCAACAAAGCGTTTCTCAGACTCTGTTAATACTGGTGTGGGATCTGGTAACGTTGACTGTGAACTAGGTTGTGGTGGGGGGCTAGAGCTAGGAATGGGTGGTAGGGGAGTAGAATGACGCCTTGAGCTATCCTATAACAATAAGAATGTTTGAATAAGTAACACTAATATAGACTGAAGGAAAGAGTTAATATGTTTCAAGGTGGATGTGTTTTTAAAGGACTTTCATAACATCTCTTGTCCTTGTCACTCCAAGATATTGAAAGTATTGAGGGAGGGGAGGGTCATTGAAGTCCCACAGAAAACTCCAACCCCCCTTCCCCCTCCCTAGGATATAAGTTATATCCTACTAGTGGTGAAAAGTGCTGGCTTTGAAAACCAAAACATTAATTAAATTTAACTTTAATTCAAAACTTGTTTGCACCTATACATTTGACCTACTAGTTGGATTTGACTAAAACAATTAGTCCTTTCACCCTTGTGGTCTATGAATCAATCGGTTTTTGGCCTCATGGACTATTGACTCAACGCCCATTCCGAATCAAGGACTAATAATTGCTAAATAGAACACATTCACCATCATATTGTGTTCTTGTTGCTACATTACTCTGTTTTCTAAATTTATCTACTAATTTGGATGGCTTTTTTTGGTCATTTGAGGATGCAGCATGGACGAGTGGTCATAGCATCGGTTTCACAATCTGGTGGTGCCTGGTTTGAGTCCTGCTGTAGCCACTAGCTGAGACCGTATTTGTCCTGATTTCTGATTAGTTCATGCTTCCAAATAGCCAACTGGTTTGCCTCCTTGCCAGTTGGGATTCTTAACACACTTTAGGTTTCTTTGATCATTCATTTCAGTTTATTAATTTGTGGACTACACTGTAAAGTAGCGGTCAGCTGTGTGTACTTTCCACATTAAATAAGGTTATTTTATTTCCCTTATTGAAAACTACTTCAAAATGGAAAAGAGAATTCAAGGTTTTCTGGTGCTAAGATGGTCATCTCACCTCTTTGGACTTATTTCTCCTTTGTGCAGGTTGTCTTTTTATTAATGAATGTTTTGGTGATGAATTGGATTCAACATCAGGCTTGAATCAACCAAATAAATGATAAAAAAAAAATGAAAACAAAAAGCAAAAACAAAATCAAATGAAATGATAATCAAAATGAAATAAATTATAAATAGAAAATCAATAGTAAACAGGTGAAATAAATAAATAATGAATAAATAAATGGATGAACAAGTGAACAAACAGGATCAATAGATGGATGGATGGATGCTTGTATGCGTGGTCGGACGGACAGAGAAACAGACAGACAGGTGCGTGGATGGATGAATGGATGGACGGACGGACAGATGGACGGATGGATTGATGCAAAGACCTTTCCCTCCAAACATTATATAAATTATCATTCCCTCTGCAATATGACCCACCCTTTATCCACCAACCTACCCACATCCCACACTAACTATATACAATCCTTTTACCTTGCTTTGTGAAGTTTGAGAAGATCTTGCCATATCCTGACCACTACTTCCAGAAACTGGTATCACTTCAGTATTTTCAAGATATGATGAAGAAACACCAACGTTGACGGCATTTTGACTATTGCTTCCTACATTGTCAATACTACTAGGTTCAATTTTGCGACCTGAAAGTCGTGGAGGTATTGGGGGAGGTTTCCTCAAAGGTGGGAGTCTAATGTTTGATGGCTCTTGGATGTTCCCTCCAGCCATAGGATATGCAGTCTGACTACCACTGATTAACGATGATGGGGTAGTGCTTATTGGAGGTAATGACGAAGGTAATGAAACTTGCAAAACTGGGACAGAACTGTTAACATCTACCAAAACTGGATTATTTTGTTGCACAGTTGGTGACGAAAAAGAATTATTCTGCACACCATGTAAATAACTAAAAGGTCGAGAAGGTATTCCATACCCCATGGTAGGAACAGCACTGGGTAGTGAAAATTGTCCATTCTGAAGAGTGGGTGGTGAGACACTCCTCGGGTTTACGACGTTATCATTAACATTTTCTCCACTTGAAATATCAACTAACTGATTGCTTGCAAGATCAGGTACAGATTTAGATAGTTTTGAATTAATATTAGCCTTGATTGGCTGAGAAACGGAGCTATCTTTAGGGGTCTGACTTACGAGGTAGTTAAACGGCTGTGAAGGCTGTCTTGAAGAACCCTGCTCAGAGCTTGCGACTGTTGTAGGGCCCTTGGTTGAAGATACAGCAACAGTTTGAGCTCCTTCTGCAAGTGATGCCTGCGAACTTGATTGAAGGACACTTTTCAACTCATCTAAATCATTTATAGTCTGAAGTTCAACAAGCTCAAATGGATTTGAGTCCTGTGCTTCAAAGTCTGACAGATCAAAAGGATTCTTTCCCAAGCTTTCATTTCTTTTATGTCCCACTGTCGTGCAAGTTGTTGGTTGTAAAATATCAGTTCCTACTGTTGAGAATATTTCCTGTCCTGTTGAAATAGAAATGTTCCTGGTCGAAGAACTGGTAGTGGCTGAAACAGTTTCTTCAGCAAGGGCTGCGGCATCTTGTCTTGCCTCTTCTTCTTCTTCCTTTTGTTGTAATTGTTTTGCTTTTAATTCTTCCACTTTTGATATGATTTCATTTTCCAATGCAAAATCATACTGAAAAAATAATTTGAATATCAACATTTTAGTTGGTTTGAGCATTCAGAGTATTGGGTAAGTTTAATGCCTGGACCAACACTCAGGGTTTAATAACTGAGGGAAAAGCTGTCTTTGTAATAATATCTACAAATGGTTAGAATTTCAAGTGGCTTGGATGATCATTTTACATGTAAATGGAAGTCCTGTCTCTCCATACTTCATCAACACTAGAAGAAGTGCTAAGGCTTTAATGAAATCCTGACAGTGACTGAGCAAACACAGTCTCTACACTTCATACTAACCACCTCTCATGATTGAAATTCACAACTTAATGTAATGCGCAAATAGAAAGGATGCTATATAAATCATAAATAATGATGATTAAATCATTGTCATTGAAAAGGAAAAAGATGTGTTAGGAGGAAAACATGCAAAGCTCTAATTGGCCACTTTAGAAACGAGTGAAGGACTGGGAACAAGTATAGAGAAGGTATTGATAATTAATCTTATTAAATATTTCCATGACGAGAAAGAGTACATTAAGATTAACGGGTTTCTGCAGTTTGGCTTCTATTGGCTAAGTAACAGCTAAATCATAAGCATGATCAAAAACATCATCAAAAATTATATACAAAAAAACATATATTTACTAGGGACAAGGGTCCCCAGTCACCATTTATTTCTAAATCATAAGCAATCAAAAACATCATCAAAAATTATATACAAAAAAACATATATTTACTAGGGACAAGGGTCCCCAGTCACCATTTATTTCTTTGTAATTTTTGAGATGTTTGGGAGGTTGCTATGCAAAAGGGGTGAATCCCAAAATCTTGAAACTCCAGAAATTTACTTAATTTTGATGTACTCTTTCTTGTTAAGGTGTTTATTTTTTAACTAGGTTAATAGACCCTTTTCGAGTTCCAAATTACCACTGTGTTTCTTGATTACACACCGCTGTGTTTCTTGATTACACATTATAAAATAATTGGGACACTACGCACGCTATGATTGGTTGAAAAGCATGTTTGATGGGAGTATCAAAACACGCTATAGTCATTATAGCGCGCGCGAGTATTGCAACTGGCAGATTTTAATCTATCTCGCGCGCTCATTGGTCAGTTGGAATAAGACGGCAGGTAGGGAGAATTTACTTATACTTTGCTTTTTTTCGATCTTTTCGCGTGTTTGTTATTTTATAAAACAAATCAAAAACAGTTTTCCGTGTTTGATGCTCTGATCAAAACACTTGGGATGTTGGGAGAACACTTGAGAAGCTGGAAACCACTCCGCTACGCGTCATGGTTTCCTATGCTCCTCTCGTGTTCTCTCAACATCCCACGTGTTTTGATCAGAGTATCAAACATGGAAAACTGTTTTTGATCTGTTAACTCATTTACTCAGGCTTAGCCTCGAATCAGTGTCTGATTACTCGCAAATACCAACGGTAAAGTAAAGAATGCATAACATCAACAATACGAACACTTTGAAACTTGATGGACCTTGACTGGAACACGTGAATATTCTACACAAAATCGAGGCTAAGCCTGAGTAAATGAGTCTGTAATCAAGAAACACAGCGGTAATTTGGAACTCGAAAAGGGTCTATTCTAAAAACTCGTACCCAGTCCTCAACTCGTTTCTAAAGTGGGCAATAAACCAGTGGCCTTGCTTTGCGATCTAATAAACCGTTTTCTCCAGGTTGCGCGCGCATTGAACTTGACTGCCCACAAAATTGAAAAATGTGAATTCAGTAAAATTGAGAGAAGCCAGGTATATATTTAAAGAGGAGAATAATCAATTTTATGAATTCTTATCAAAAACATTCATAGCAATGCAGGATAATTCTCATTATAAAGCTCCTGTTCTGGTATCGTGGCCCGTCAAGTCCCTTAAATTTGGGTGTGCATGCAACCTTGAGAAAACGAAAATTCTAATTATTTCACAAGAATTGTCTAAATAATTATAAGAGTGAGTAAGCTATCCCAAAAAAGGATAAAATTATTAATTGAAAAAATAGTGAAAAAATGAGTAAGTTAAACCTCTATTTTTGAAGCATAATATATCATACAGAATAATATATTTTTTTAAATGTACTCACAGTCAAATTTAGAACCTCTGATGGATCGTTCTGTTGAAATCCAACAGGCAAAGCAACCTAAAATTGATAAAATATGTAAAAAACATATGCTTTTAGAGCAGCTGTCAAATGATAAAATGCTTCCTTAAATCTTTACGTCGAAGTCCAGGTGAAGGAACGATGGGAAGGAAGCAGGGGCGAATCGTTCATAGAAATTTGTACCTCAAAAAGCACTGAATATTATATATTTTTTAATCATATAAAGAAATACCTTTCTAGGAGGCTGAAAATTTTGTCCTATTTTGACTTCAACGCCATCTAAAGCTCCTAAATCGCTATAATCTGATGAAAAGTGGAGGAAAATTATTATATAAGAAGGAATATAAAAACACTCAAAATTGTCCGCGGAGATTTTTGGTACTTACGGCTACCGCATTTGCGAAAAGTCTTATGTTTGAAGTCCATTAGATGTTTAATTTCTCGTCTGAGGCATTGGAATAAGGAAAGGAAGATGTAAAGGTCTAAAAATAGTGCTTTGAAAGCAGAATTTTTGCTTATTCACTCGAGTTAGTCGTCCATATTGAATACTATTGGTCAATGATGTCATTTCTCAATAGATACCAAACCCCTACAACACAGGTAACCCAGCCCAAGGTATATATTTCTGGCTTGTTTAAAAATAATAAATCGTTTTAGGATTTATTTGCCAGCTAAACAACAAAACAAAACTCATAAATGCTTTATCACTTCTATATTTTGTACATTTAAGCTATGTTTATATTTAGCGAGGAAAGAGTGCGACTGTGTGAAACTGTGATCAAAAATAAAATAGAGACTGGCAAGCAAGGAAGAAGCAAGCATATATATCCTGTTTATTTTTCAATAGCTAGAAGAAAAATAAAAAATGAGACAAGAAAAACAAGGAAGTGGGAGCCAGGTGAAAAGAAAAAGCAAGTAAGAAGCAAGCAAGCAAGACAGAATAAATTTACAATAAAAAGTTCCAGTTGTATCCCAAAAGCACGCGCACGCCAAGATGTGCGCGCGCTGAAGCTTCCGTCATCATGACGAAGAACTTGAAAAAAATTCAGCTTTTTTTCCGACAGCAATTATTCAGGATTGTATTTTCATATCGCCATGGGTAGTTGAGACTATTTTCTTGTTTTTAACACAGTTTCCTGTATGGCAACGCTTTGCACATTATGCAAAGATGATTTCAAAGATCCTCGGGTCTTGCCGTGTTTACACTCTTTTTGTAAACAATGTATTGATAACCTCTTCAACGGAAAACCAGAAGAAAAGTCACTGGAAACATTTTGTCCGATTTGCTACACGAAATTTAAAGTAAACACAACGCTTTTCTAAATATTTTAATTTAAATTTTGATTTTTTTATCGAACAACAAAAAGGTGAGGTTCGATCGCAGTTAATTCGTTTATTTTTTTCTTTTCTTTTTCTCAGTGGACTCCAGAAGATATTGCAAAACTACCTCAGAACTTCAGCATCACAAATCTGACGCCAATTTTGAAGCTTCATTCTTTAGGAAGCGAGCAAAAAGGAAAGAAAATTGACTGCGAGAATTGTCATGGGAAAAAAGGTGCAGTCGTTCGTTGTAACGATTGTTGTGTTTTCATGTGTAGCTGTTGTATCGCAGCTCACCAAAGAATACAATCACTCAAGCACCATCGAGTCGTGACACTAGAAACTGTAAAAAGAGCAGAGCCACACGATTTAGCCAAGCAGATATTTTGCAGAAAACACGAGCATGAATCTCTGTCACTCTACTGTGAAGCTTGCCGAGTAATCATCTGTCGTGACTGCACAATTTTTGAACACCGAGAACACGAATTTAAAAAAGTTGAGGAAGTTATAGAAAGAGAAAGTCGAGAAATATTCATCGCTATAAGAGATGCAGTTGAAAAAGTACCTACTTTGGAAAACACTTTGAAGGAAGTCAAACTCATGAAAACGAGAATCAAACAAAAGGGGACAGCTGCTGAAAGGAATGTCGATGTTTTTATCGATACACAAATTCGTATTTTGCAGCAAATTCGGACGGAGCTAAAGCAAGGAGTAGGGACAGTTTGCAAGGCAAAACTTCGCTCGATACGTTTACAGGAAGATCATCTTTCACAACATTTGGCAAATATTAAGAATGGCGTTCATTTTGCTAGACAGGCTATCCGTAATGGTAGTGAGAGTGAAATTTTGTCTCTTAAAAGTCAGATCATTACTCGTTTGGCTGATCTTTCTGAGAAGCTGATTTATCCAAGTCCGTCTCAAGATGATGGGATAGTATTACGCATTGATAGCGAAACGACGTTGAGAGATTTAATGCCAAAACTTGTTAGAATCGATAGCTCTACAGCTGTGCCATCCTCATGCTCGCTTCAAGTTATTGGTGGAGAACCGGACACCATATACACCACGTTTTGTGGCCAATTTTGCGAGTTTGTAATAACAGTGCGAGATCATTTTGGCCAACAACTTCTGAGAGGAGGAAACAGAGTTCAAGCCGTCATCACCGACTGTCCTCTCGCACAGAAAGAAATCTGGGCTACAGCCATGAAATTTCTCGACGTCAAAGACAACGACAATGGTACATATAGTTTATCATATTTGCCTGCATTCCCAGGGAAGTACGTCCTCGCTGTAGCGGTGGATAGTAAGAACATAAAAGGCAGTCCATTCTGCTGGTATGTGAGCCAGAAGATTGTAAATATTAACAAGTGCAGTTTGGATTATTCATTCAGTAGTGACCCCAGAATGTATCAAGGGAACTCGACTACCATTGACGACATCGTGATAGACGGTGGATATTGTTTTTCCTGGCGGGTAAAGTTTCGTAGCAACATCAACTTATACTCATCGTTCATCGGCGACTCGAGTATGATGATGAGAACATGCTCGCATTTAGGTCCTCAGCAGTCGTTCTTCCAAGGGTGTAAAATTGGTGTCAAAAAATGTGAGCGTAGCTTAACGAATAGTGAAACTTCTCTTGCAAGCACGTGTATCGAATCTCCATCTTCTCGAGGATCGATCTACAGTAACTGGAGAGAATTGACCAAAGATGCGTGGTTTTGGTGTGATGGATACTGCTACAGCCCTAACGAACCAACAGGCACACAGAGCAACATCACCACCTTCGAAGATGGCGACATCTTTGTTCTCTTTTTAAACCCTGTTAAGAGAACTTTGATTATTTACAACAGGGAGAGCAAGCAGGGAGATTGCATTGAGAATATAAAATGTCCTGTACGGCCGTTCCTTAAGGACTGAAGAAATCTGCCAAACAAAAAGAGAGAGCGCCTGGCCAGTTGGAGGAACTTCTCCAACAATTCAAGACGATGCCTTCTAATTCCAAACTCTGCTAGAGTGCAAACAGCATGTGTGAAACTTTAGTAAAACAAAATTGCACAACTTTGTACAAAATCCTTTGTTTTCTATTGTTTATTTAGCACTATTTTATTAGCACTAGTAATTTGTATTGCACAGATATATGCACTCTTTAAACATGCATGACAAAAAATTTGGGGAAGACTTAATTTTTTCGTGAAGTTTTAATTTTAGTTTGAAAAACTTCACCAATAATTTCGTTCAAATTCGAAAAATTTTGTCAGAGTTAGACTCTGAAAATAACTAACAAGAAAGGAAGAATGGCAGTCATTTTTGGGAATTTAGAATAAATTTGTTGTACTGATTACGATTAGTTAAGAAAATAAAAATTATAGCTTTACTTCTAAATGGCTTCCTAAACCAAGCACTCTGATTGGCTAATGCAATGAGCATTTCCCATAATTCTGATTGGTAGTTAAAACAACATCAAATCTAGAAATTTTGTCTTTTATTCGTTAAATACTTTGGGCGTTTTCTCTAAAATTACTCTTTAYTTTTTAATTTCTTAAGCGAAAAACCTGACGATTTCCTTGACAGCGACTATTAAAAATGTAAAGACATTATTCTTCTATCTTAGAATTAAATGATCCATTTATAATCAATTGTTTTAACGAAGATAACCCTGCTAATCTTATATGTTCTAACTTTGAGGAGGCCAAGGCAAGAACGACTTTTCTATAGATACAACATTGTGTTAAACAATGAAATATAGAAAGCCTCATTTGCCTTGTATTTTTCTAAGATAATATTCTAAGATAAAGATATCACACAACTAAGGAAAGGTGTAGCATGGGTGGGGTGGGGTGGGGTTGAGGGGGGAGAGGAGGGGGAAGGGGTGGGGGTGCAGCGTGTGGGGAGCATGGGTAATTGTTTTAAAAATTTTCATGCTTTAAGCAGTTTTAAAGTTTTAAGGTTCTACAAAAAACTTAATGAAGCTGTGCAACCCAAGTTTTTCTTTAAAGATATAGGTTATAACATATGCGTTTTTGATATATATAAATCTAGTGTATATAAACTAGAGCTCATATACTGAAGGAGCTGTATACAAAGGTAGGTTTGCTAGATGTACAAAAGAAGTACTGTGACTGCAATGCTCTACACGAATGTTCCTCCATGGAGAGGAGCATAGCTGATGTCTCCACTTTTACACATGACGAAGCAAGATGCTATCATTCCGAAGAGCTGTTGATAAAACAGAAGAGATGACATATTATTCTATTGGTAAAAAAAACCATCTCTGCAGCGATATAAGTCAGAGTGCACAGGTTGATTGCTTAAACAACTTTTGGGCTGATCTAAGCCAGGGTACAGCTAAGTCGCAGATCAAACCCTGAAGCAACCTCTGGGCTGATCTAAGTCAGGGCATGGCTAATTCACAGATCAAACCCTAAAAAAACCTCTGGGCTGATCTAAGTCAGGGCATGGCTAACTCACAGATCAAACCCTAAAAAAACCTCTGGGCTGATCTAAGTCAGGGCACGGCTAACTCACAGATCAAACCCTGGAAGAACCTCTGGGCTGATCTAAGTCAGGGCATGGCTAACTCAGGGGTGAAATTTGATTGTAGTGTTTTGGGTTTTGCAGAGAGGAAAATTGGAGAACGTCAAAAACCTCTCTGTGCRTTCACAGCAATCCTAAAAAACTTGTCCTTACTATGTCTGGAGGAAAACGTGGGACTGCTCATGTACTGAATTTCAATTGGAAATATTTAAGAAGTTGATTTTTGTGAAGGGAGAAAAACTGGAGAACCCAGAGAAAAACCCTCAAAGCACAGAAGAGAAGCAACATGGAGCTCTACTCACATATGACACTGAGTTTAGGAATCTCTAACTCAGGTCACCTCAGTGAGAAGCAAGCGCTCTCCTCCCTCTGCCACCCATGCTATACAAATTTTCTAGCCTATTTACCTGGAGAATAGCAAAGCCAATGCCAATACCAATGATGTAAGTCAAGTAGTGATCAAACTTGTTTCGCAGCTGCTCATAGCACCCCTAAAATTAGAAAATCAAAAACAAAAATCGATGAAATATGATGAAATTAGGAATTGATGTGATGTACACTTGACAAAATAGTTTGAAAAAGAAGCAAAGGGAATGGAAGGGAA